TGAATGGAAAGTGATCGATAGAACTAGCTGAGAGACAGGCAAAACGAAGGACCCGCACGGTGTGGTGGTGAACGCGTTACTCCCCAGAAAGGACAGTATCGCGTTCGTTCCCCACCGCAGACACCTACGGTCCGGAGTTTTGCAAACATCTCAACATCATTGTGATTACAATTCAAAAGGATAACTAAGAGAGGGAAAGTGATTTTCTTCCAGGACGGATTTGAGAGTGTATTAAATGTAGTCGTGGGACAGAAAACGTACAATAGAACTTCTTGGTGTTAATGGGAAAAATGCTACCAAAATGTTATCAAAATCATCTCTTCGTTCTGCACGGCGTACTGGAGTGTTCAATATGAGAAGGATCGGTGTGCACTTCGTCGTATTCCATCATCTCTAAACTCTGTTGAATAACCTTAAATCTCTTTTTAATTCAATCGGTTCTTCTGTTCTGAGCGGTGATCTGTTGACCTACAGTACAATTCGAAATTTGGGGACATTCCGTGGGAATACGTCGTATGTACTTTGTAGTTTAAACTTTAAGTATTTTGCTACCTAAGAATTACTTCGGTAATTTCTTCTTAAGCAATCTCCTAATGGTTTCATAGGATATGCAAATCCTAATGGTTTCTTAAGATATGCAAGCATCATTGTCTAAAAACTCCAGCGTATTCGTCACTTCTTCGGAGTATTTTCATAAAAAGTGCTTAGTTTTCGGACAGGTCCCCATTGGTATGTTAGGCATTTAGTGAAAAGATTTCATGTCGTTGTCATAGATGACTTGCTCTTTTCCTTAGATCACAACTGATCGTTAATTCTGTGTTTCAATAAAAAAAGCGACTTTTTAATTATGGAATCGATCTCCGCTCCAATGGCCCACCTAACCTTCGATCCGTCCTGGATCGGCAAATTACTATCAGACTTGTCTGGGAAGATAGCAGCACTGGCTCAATACATCGGTAGACAACCGCGAGTCATTGTAAGAGTCAGATATGCATTCAATCGCCTCAAAACGATGTTTAATGAAGTCGAATGCATGTCGCATCCCTCAGGGATTGATCAGCGCCGAGAGCTTTATCCTTCATTTTATCCTTTATCTGTATGTGTTGAAGGGTCCCATCTATTTTAGGTACGTAGTTCACCTTTATTATTCACATTTTCTCACACAGTGCTGTAATCGATTAAGCTCTTAATGCAAAATAGGATGTGAAGGGTAACTCCCTGTCGCAAAGACGTTAATAGGAGAGTGCGTCGTTAAAAAAATGCATTAAGGAGTTGGAAATGTGAAAACCGGTTATTGAATTTCATTCAGCACTTTCATCGTTCACTAATATTGTTTCCTCGACTAAACTATTGGTGATTGAACAAGCTAGATTCTTCTGGACAAGTTTCAACTCGTGGAATCTGATATAAAATGGCGCACTATTTAAATACCTGTAAGGGAAATGTCTTTATGCCTCAATTTCTCCTGGATTATACAACTTTGCATGATGATTATTCACTTTTACTTTCCCTAATCTTTGTGATCATAGAGTGGCGCAAGCCAGCATCAATAAACTCTGCTTTCATCCCCATCCCACGCTCGAGCTACTCAGTAAGTTCCACCTACTCAAGAGACACAAAACGCACGACCAGCACATCCTCTTCATTTGTTATGAGGAATACGGTTTATTTTTTGTGAGGCTCTTTATCGCTAGCGTTACTTTGAAGGTAGCGAAAGACAACGAGACGTGGGAGTTGACGTGCGGCTTATTCAATGTAAGCTATGGTGAACTGCGTCCCGTCCACTTAATTGCAGGCGTTAGGAATGAAGGTTGTTATGTGTGTAAGTAATATTTAAGTTGTTAAGATATAATAGGGTGCACGTGGCGCAGTGGTCGGAGGCGCCCTGCAACACACAGGCGGATTCGATCCCCACTCCCATACCAAGCCTTCCATCCCTCCGGAGTGGCAAATTGGTACCAGAATTGCCTGGGAGAATAGCAGCACTGTGCCCAATACATCGGTAGGCCACTGCGAGTCATTGTAGAGGCCAGATATGCATTCAATCACCTCCAAACGATGCTTATTGAAGTCGAACGCATGGCACTTCCTCAGAGATTGACCAATACAAAGAGTTTTATCCTTTATTCTTTTAAGATATAATAGCTTCATCGACGCAGTCACGCCTCCGTGCTTGTGCATGATTATGGTTGTATGCTAAAGAATATGTAAGTTAGTCCCACCTGATAGACGCAAGTATCCCACCTGAACACGCCTAACTCTGTGTAAATGTCGCAGGTTTTCTTAAATAACCAATCTGTTTCTCCGTCGTGGGTTCATGATCCATTTCTCTGGAGATTTCTCAAAGAATAAACATCAAGAGATAAAGCCCTCGCGATTGAATGCACATTAAGAATTGGTTCGGCTTCATCAAGTCAAAGGTGTTTGAATTCATATTCTGCCTATACGATGGCCTACAGATTATCAAGCCAGTGCCGCTATCCTCCCATACAATCTGGCACCAATTTACCAACGCCGGTGGGAAGGCTTGGTGAGCATAGAGCGCGGGATTGATCGCATTTGTATTTGAGAACACCGCTAACCACTGTGCTACATGCGAAACTGCTGTAAACTCGAGACCCACGAAAGTTCCGAAGCTTTTTTTCCTGTTGTGAGTCGTTGCATCAGTGTTGTCACTTTTGATGATTATCTAACTCTTCTATAATCGCTTTCTGCAGCACATTTATTTGGATGCTTCTCGGAAGATTTCTATTTAATACACTTCACAGCACTCCGAAGTTTACAGGATGCACACAAAACTGAGTTAAGGTAGATTTAACGTGGATCGAGGCGCCTATGGTCCACCCAGATTTGCCTGGGAGGATAGCAGCACTGACTCGATACATCGGTAAGACACCGCAAGTCATTGTGGAGACCAGATATGCATTCAGTCACCCTCAAACGATGCTTAATGAAATCGAATGCATGGCGCATTCCTCAGAGATTGATCAGCGTCGAGAGCTTTATCCTTTATTTTCATCCATACACAATGTTGACCAAATTGGCTTTTCTTTATCATTGATGTTATTTTACATGAAGGCTCTAAGCGTTGTCCTTTACATGGAAACGTAAACGAAGAAATACGAACTTATCGTGAAGCCAGTATCGTTTAATTGTGCAATAAAACGACACAGAAAGTGTGTTCCCCTTTGGAGTACTTCGCTTTTACGTTGTTTTACTAGTTTTTCAGGAATTATGTGCATCCGGTTCTTTGAGGTATTGAATCTTAACGGGCTCACAGGAGCTCTTAGCAGCTATTATAATAACTGAAAAGGGTTTCAGCTCAACTAGGGCAGTTTGTAGGAAGTATCATAGTAGTTTGTTAGTGTGAAACTACTGATTTGTGGTTAGAGGTGCTCTACAATAAACAAAGTATTGTTGGGTCAATTCCTTGCCTCAGAACAACTGAGGCTTCCATTCTTCCGCAGTCAGTGAATTTTTATCATCTGTGAGAATTTCAACACTAAGTTGACACACCTGTACTCAGCTGCGAAGTCATTATGTAGGCCATATATGCATTCAATCAGCACCACGATATTACGAGTGGAGTCGAATGCATGCTGCTTTCATAATCGACTGATCATTGTTGAACGCTTTATCATTTGCAAGTTCAATATTATGCAATACGGATGGGGCTTTGGCCTTTAGCCTTTGGCTTTTCATTTGGCAATGAATGTCAGGCCGACCACAACCTCCAGCTAGACGGAGTGTCTGCCGCATGAGAGATCAATTAGTTCTCCTATGTGCATATGAAACCAGGCGTGCAAATCCTCACTCCTTCCTTTACTTGATAGTTTTCACTATTTTGACTTACTTTAATTGCAATAAATGTTTTTTGACTAATGTTAGCTAGTTGAGGTTTTTTATGAGACTTTCATTCATAACCGTTTCAACTCATTCAGTTTAGAGTTTCCTCTTGTTTGAATCTACAATATTCTTCTCTGATTCTTCGTCGGATATCTAACGGCAGAGTATAGAACTTTTCAAAACATCGCCATCATTTCGATAAATTTTTTACCACCTACTATATGGTTATCTACGTTATGGATTCGTTTGACAAGTTTATAAACAAGTGAAGATCGGTTAAGAATTCACTACTTGGATAGGTATTGATCGGCCACAACTGTTGTTTTTTTTTCATCAGTGGTTTCTTCAATCATTTCCTCTCAGCCAGAGTTCTGTTTAGGGAAATGAAACGGATTTATGAGAAAAAAACGAAACAGGACTGGTTTTGAAGTGAATTGCTGAAATAGTCGTTCATTTTTCGCTGATTGCGTGCTTTAAAGTACAGATCTTGACTTTGAATAGAGACGAATTAGGCTATTCTGCTGGCGTTCTCCTCTTGTCGATTGGCAGTCAGCAATGACCCTTCAATGACTCCAGCAACACATAACCTTGACTGAATTCGGAGTACCTATTAAGAGCGGAAGGTTGTTCTTCCGTAGGCAATCTTCTCGTCCAACCACTGAGTTTCGTTACCTTAAAAGACAACTTTCTTCCCTTTTTTCTAAAGTGTAATCCATTAGCGTTAGGTTCTCGTTCTTTGGTTACAGAATAAATCATGACATTCATATCCATGGATATAAGAGTTCAAGGGGTTTTAGTTTATACAAGTTTCTAATGGAGTGGAAAGGTCTTTAAAAATAGGCTTTCGAGTGATAAACTGGGATTATGGAATTTTACTATTTTTCTCAGAAGATGCCAATCCTTTAACGTTGAGCTGTGCTGAATAGAACCTACTATGGAGAAGAGTATAGTGCAGAAAAATTCGCTAACAGAGAAATGTTATGACGTCATTTCTCGTCACGTAGTTCCTAGGCAGCTGCGAGAAGTACCTCACCAGTGGAAAGCCAGCGTTGAAGGTGAAACTCCGCGTAAAAAAATTGGTATCCATGGCATGGAATTAAGTTTCTGACGATGCTAAACAACATCGTTTCACAAATATTCGGTTTTCCCACGCTCTAACGGTGTTCCTGGAGGGGCTGCACAGCATTCGGCACAAATTCCACCATGTAAATTCGAAACGCCACAAAGTCATTTATCTCCTTTTCTTGCCACTGTTCGCCAGACGCAATGTTTTGAAAGTGTCCGATGTTCTTCTCGTATATGAGTGCTGTCAACTTTTCACGGTTATCTTCGTCCCAGTGCAAGTCACTCATCGGGTTCTGAGTTCCCGTCTCCTCCTCCTCGTGCTTGTCCTCCTCATCGCCGTCGTCTGATCAATAGACCTTACGGCACACACCTCTTTCCGATTTATTCGTATCAACATCGCCACCACGTGCCACATTAACCTAGGTGCTTCATGTCAAGTTGACGAGCCATGAATTCTCTTCAATCACCTGTTGTTTCTTCTTGTAGAAGAGCCCATCGTTAGTTAATGGATGAAACAAGCATTATTGTCTCTTACCAGATATAACCACATACAGAGAACTCGAAAAAGCATTTGCTTTTAGCAGAGTTTTGATAAATTTGATCAAAAGGAAGAGCTCCGTAAGGACTTGGATCAAGCATTCATCAAATTTTTCTTTATCTTCATATCGAGCTACCGTTCATCTTTCTCATATCTTTTCATTTCTTCACCATCTTCGTCTTTTCATCACGAATCTCTTCATCTCGGTTCTTCTTTTAGTTCCATGTCACACTGTTCAGTTCGCTTCTAGTAATTGAGTAGCACCATTGAAACTTTTAATCAATAGCATAGTCTTTTCTCTTCGTTCTTGCTTTAAACATGAAACTGATTACGATGAAGGCTTGTGTAGCCGTGGAAAGGGATTTTTTCCTCCTCAGATGAGACCCAGAATACTCAAAGCGTGTGAATCTGGGAGAGGAGGGAGTTAGTGGAAAGTACGATCATAGATTTTCAATGACCGTGGTATACGGTAGCGTATCTATATCGAATATCTTCTTTTTGCACATTCTACTTCACCGGTCATAGGATACATGATAGGTACAGCTTATATCAGTTTTTTCTTAAGAATACCAAAAAATTAAAGGAAATTATGAAGTAAAACTTGATGTCAGCGTCGTGTTAGCTTTTTAAGCCTAAGCTTAAGCGTCCAAGAAAATTTTGGCTATTGTCAATGTCAGGTTTATGCCCCACATCCTTTATGACATGCACTATCTTTTCCGATAGAAAAAATTTTGCTTTGTTCCTCATATTCGTCACTTATATGAACAAATTTAAACGAAATTCTTTAAAAATTCATGATTTATTTGTAATAAAGCAAATGCAAAAGCGTAGTGGTTAGCGTCTAGGTTAAGGAACTAAGCGAAATCATTCTCCAGTTCCAGCTAGAGCAGGGGTTGTTCCAGAATTTCTGGCCCAAACTCGAATGTCGACATTCGATACCGCTATGTGTCGATCGTTTATTTCATTAGTGCTGCTATGCAAATCACAACCACTATGGTCTCTGAACGGCAGTTAATGAGCACACTGACCCAAGCCGCACCCTCTGCCCCCTATCATCGTGTTCATCGACTCACTAAGCTAGGATTTTCTGGATTTCACTATATCATTTCCGATTATTGGTCGGATTTATTCAGTTTTTAGCTCGTTAATGCATTTATATCATATTTCTGATGTCTGATTAATTAAGCGGACGGAATGTTTCTGACGTTTTATCGTAGAGGACTGACAACGTTCCGTAATTTTTAGGTGTTTTTGTTCACTCTTCATTATTCCAGCCTGTCCCTCATGAATATTCGCTTTCCTTTCCTCTCTGCTCATAAATATTAACGGTTGTAATGGAGGGTCAGATTTCTAGATCTCTTCCTCTTATACTCCATAACTTTCTTAGCGACTCGAGTTAATCCTAATGAAATTATTCTATTCTTTCTAAAGGATTTTATTACTTCTATTCATGCTAGAGATCAGTTAATCTTCGTGTTGCAACGTAGAAAAGCAAGGATAACAATACAGGGGTACTTTTGGGAAATGCATGTGGCGTGAGGAAGAACTGTGAGATAGGCGTTAAGCCTGCAACAACTTCTTACTATTATCGCATCGTTCTAGAAAATCCTCCAAACATGCGGCATTCCTCCTGGTATCTCATGAATGTTTTCGTGGAATGATAAATAGAACGTTGGAATGATAAATAACACTAGCACTGGACACAACATGAGCTGCTGTTACCAATTAACAGATGTCATGTATAAAAACTTACCTTTCAGATGGTTACACCCAATCCAATCGTATTGCGGTGTCAATTCTTAGGAAATGAAACTTTCTGACATTTCCGATGCATTAAGATGAACTTTACTGGCTAAGTTGACATAAGATAACCCGTCGACATTTTGTTCTTGAAGTTCTAACAATTTCTATCACTTGAAAGGAATACGAGTCACCGCTGTTTTGCGATTGCTACATGGTCTAGTGGAATTTGCTGTTCTTCGAACTCCTTTCTGGCTTTGTGACGCATGTCCTCTCATAAAAAGGATTGTATCTGGATAGTTAAATATTGTCGTACTGCTTCGATTTTGTTGTTTCTTAGCGCAAAGTCCAGCTTCACGGGGCTCGTTCAGACAAAAGTTGAGGAACTCTAGCAAATCAAATTCCCTGGTTTCGTCTGAAACTGCAAATTTGCTTTGTGAGCGCAGTTGAAATCTGGTGAAATTTGCTTTTAAAGGTTATTGTTCTTTGAGAGCTGCTCAGGTTCACGGGTGAATTCGCTGGTATAGTATGGTAAAAATGTCTCGAACACTTTTTAAACACTAGCTAGCCTAAATCATGCTTAGGTGGTTTGAAAGTAGTGGTGGATTTGAACAGCACAATTTCCACCTGACAGGTAATTTGTTGTTTTGGCAAAATTTTCATGCCGTAGAAAATGGAAAGCTGTGCTAGGCCTTTTCCACGTCGTCATCGCTTGCGAACTAAGGGCTGATTTTTGGGCGAGGACACGCCCGATTACGAGGCACTCAGCCCTATCGGGATTCTTGGAATTTTCAAGAATGCTTTGAGATTCCCGTGTACTTCAGAATCTTATTTATTATGCCTTTTTGTCTTACGAATGCCTGTGGATTATTTTGTTTGACTTTAAATTTTTTATCCAGAAGTTCTTGTGCCCAAAAACAGAGTGGTCCACGCATTTCTCCAATGTACAGGCGTTCTGGTGCAATACAAAAGGTCATCTACATCGTAAGAAACTGTTCAACATGCGATTAAAATCAGCATGCTGAAACGGTACTGACGTTACTGCCGATACTGCCGAAACGTCAGCTAGTGTTGTATTGTATTGTGTTTTTCTATCGAAGTAAATGTATGCTGTTTAAAAACCTCGCGATTGCTGAACAAGAAAACGACGCACTAAAATCAACGTTTTGAATTCTTCTTTTTAGCTTGACTTAGCGGATCGCTTATCAATATGGCACATCCAAGGCTTTGAAGAAGGCTAAATGAGCCGAAACAACTGTTGAACAAATCATATTAATAGCCTTGTATCTGCTTATCAAGGGAACATTAACTTATTGATCAATGCCGAGGTTACTAGACAACTGATCCTGTGAATTATGGCATCCAGTTATGTTGCGAACATGGAGAACTCGATTTATACTACCCTTAAAATTATGGGTAAACGTGATAACGAAATCATCCAAATCCCATTGTGAATAGAAAGTTGAGTCGCAGTTAGTGAACTTTTGGCCAGCATGTCGATCAGAGTTCGTATTCGATTGGGGTATTCGTAATTACTATTTAGACCACACACCGTACCGCTCATTAGAGCTGGAAAGACTGCTAAGAGGTTGGATCAAATCAAAATCAGGATAAAATCTTAGCGGTTTTTTTGCACGTTTCTCGCAGAACTCTGTTCATGATGAAGTGTTCACCATCTACTTATTCGTCTCTTTTTATTTCTCGCTCTTACCACTTTTCCGTGTTGCTCTTATTACCCCTGAATTGGAATGCATAGAAATGCTTGTCTCTGAGCAATTCGAGTCGGCTAATCCCTTAGAATTTTCAAATTCGGTACGATTTCCACTACGTCTGAGTGGTTTGGGCGGATTTCATGAGACCTCAATGATACGGTTGTGGTCAGAACTTATAAATGTCTTTTCTAGAATCTTCTATGGATTTCCATGGGAACTATTATTTTAATGATGTCGTCATTTTTTATTTACTGCGTAATAATTTTTAATGGCAGGGTGTTATGTGAAGTAGAACCACAATATAACTTCAATGATCCTGAGATATTTGCGAAACTCGGGGCCGCAGGTGTCTGCAGTGGGGATTGTCCTTTCCGTGGAGTAACGCGTTCACCACCACACCATGCGGGTCCTTCGTTTCTCAGCATCATTGAAGTTATATTTCGCAATATATACCATGCCATGAAAAAGAATAGGCAGTAAATAATAAGTTAAAATTGTGATTATAACTACGGCCTCAGACTAACTTGGTTCGTTGTCGATTTAGGCTACCCAGATCAATCCCGCTAATGGGTAATTGCTGATGGCAAGTGATCGACGGAACTAGCTGAGAGACAGGTGAAACGAAGGACCCGCATGGTGTGTTGGTGAACACGTTACTTTCCGAAAAGGACCATAGCGCGTTCGTTCCCGCCGCAAACACTTGTGGTCCGGAGTTATGCAAATATCTCAGCATATTTAAGTTATATATCGTCATATATATCTTGCCATTAAAAGAGTAGGCAGTAAATAGTAAGTTAAAATTATAACCACAATGTTGCTGAGATATTTGCAAAACTCTGGACGTCTACGGTGGAGACCGAACACGCTATTACCCATTCCGGGAGCTAACGCGTTCACCACCACACCGTGCGAGTCCCTCGTTTCGCCTGTCTCTGAGATGTCTTATTGACCTATTGGCGCTATCAGCGGTTACTCATTTGCAAATATCTCAGTAACATTGTAGTTATGTTGTTCTAACATCTGATCATATTTTGGTAACATGGTGGACAAGAGATTAATACGTGATGAATCTCGAATCAGAAATACCTGAGAAGACCGAGAAGTAGATTCGAATTTTTCGAATTACATTCTTATGCTAATTGAAAGCTGATTTAAAGCGGTTAATGTCCTCTTTCAGCTGGGATTTCTACAGGTTTTTCTTCCTAGTCTCTTTCATCTCAACTATATATTTGTCCCAGGTGTTTTGTTTTCTAGTTCATCGAAAACATTGAGAAAGAGGTAGATCGGTACTAGTTTACCTGTTTGCTCGAAGTCTTTTCTCGGAACAGTTTGGAAAATCTTCTCAAGTGGTGTACCTATTTGCCAATTGTCACATCAAGCAAAAGAAAAACCTGAGAGGTAAACACTGGATGAGTTGTCGAGTCACTTGAGACTAAAATGATTTTGTTTCCTGTGTCTGG